TTCCTTCGCCCCTTTCCGCTTTGAACGCCTCGGTCTAAGAAAACCGAAGTTTTATGTGGTAACGGAGCTCGGAACATTTCGTAGCTTTAAAAGTCTCCTTGTGGCATATGAGGGCATAATACTGAGATCGGTAATCCCATGATCTACAAAACGTAAATGTCCCGGTATGTGGAAGTGTCGATGATGCCATCAGCACGAAATATTTTCAGATATTCTCCATTTCCTATGAGCTCGTTTATTCCTCGGTTGCAACTTTTGCCTAACCAAGGAAGTCCGCCAACTTACCATGGAACTTTGAATGGAGACCTGGGTAGATCGATAGAGTCTATAAGGTTATTTACAAATATAGATAGCAAAACTGCAACCTGCATTTCACAAGCAACTTATGAGCAGGTAAAGTTTGTAATGGTGCAGTAGGGTGGAGGCTTGGTGGTGAGCTGTGAAGCATAAGCGAGGAATCGCATACGTCGAATCGAGTCGTGGTGGTTCAGTGGTAAGGTTCGACGTTCGACGACTCGATTCGACGTATGCGATTCCTCGCTTATGCTTCACAGCTCACCACCAAGCCTCCACCCTACTGCACCATTAAGCTCTACTACTGCCAAGAGGTTGCAGTTTTCGCTATCTTCTACATTCTATAAAGCAGCAACTTTGGTGTGTCGGTTTGTCGGTATGTATGATGTCCGTCCGCAAAATGCTTTACGGGATTAAACACGTTAGTGAAGGAAGAAAACGACCGCTAGCCAAACCGGGAACCCATAGGTGCAGATGTATCAATCCAATGTATGATTGTGATACACGGCTATATAAGACAACACCGGCCACTCCGACATTGCACGAGCTGCTGCCGTGGCAGCTGGACGTGTGCTCGTGCGGGGGCAGGGTGAGGGTGCCAGGTCGCCCTACCTCCTTCTCCTGCATGTGCTCAGCCGGAGCTGAAGCACAATGTATTGGGGAGCACGAGGGAAGCCGGCGGGAGGAGGGGGGGGGTACAGTGAGGGGTGCGTAGCGCGCGTTTCAGTAGAAACGCACACCAGTGGATGAGGACACAACCGCTAGCAAAACTGTAAGCCAACCTATGTTACCGTAACGAACTAAGAAGTTGTTTTGGTTGTGATAACACTCTCCACTGTATAAGAAAACCACTACACTCCGAGCCATTGCACGGGTTGCTCGCGTGGCAGTTGGACGTAAGCGCGTGCAAGGGGCAAGGTGGGGGGGGGGATGGAGTGGCGAGTACGGAATGGGGTGAGGTGAGGAAGGTGGAGTTCATTCGCAACCCCTCTCCCATCCACTTCCTTGCGCTACTCAGGTGGATCTGAGCACATGCAGGGGAAGGAGGCATATGGATTGAATCGGGCAAACTGGGTATAGTAAGGGGATGCGTAGAGTACGCTTGGATAGGAGCAGGCGGCAAGACAGAAGGAAAGAACCCCTAGCAAAACTGCAAGCTAATCCATGTTACAGCAAACGAACTAGGAAGCTGTTTGGATTTTGAATAGCTCTCCTATCTAAGCCAATCACTGTGACAGACTGTGCTATTGCAGGAGCTGCGCTTGGGAGCTGAACGTGAAGCAACGACAAGGCGTGGTAAGAACAGTGGCGGCGTAGTGTCCCTATGTTGCACCAGCTGCTCACGTGGCGGCTGCATCCACGTGCGGGAGTGGGCGCCAGTTAAATAGGGTCACTGGGATATGATGTGGTGAGGGGATACCAGATGAGAACGGCGATTTCGCGATTAGGAGCACATAGCGCCTGCGGCGGTAAGGCGTCTACGGTTGCGATAAGATGGGAAGAAAATGGATCGACCGCAATCGGAACTGAACCGATTAATGTTGCATTATCAAATTGTGGTAGCGTTTTGATAGTCATAACACCCTCCACAACATAACACAACCATTTAGTGCACTCAGAACCATTGCACGGGCTATTCGCGTAGCAGCTGAGCGTGACCTGTAGGGTGGCTGAGCGGGAATAGCTGAGGTTAGTTTGGGGATAGGTGAGGTGAGAGAGGACATATTGGCGCGACCGACGCTCGCCTGGACAGGAGCACGCAGCGACTGCGGAGACCGAAGCATCCATGGCTGTCATGAGATGGGGATGAGAGTAATCGATTATCCATGACCAGATTTTGAACTTTTCATTATGAAAAGTGCCCCTGGCCGAATCAATATGGCGTTTCTACATTCATTCTGATTAAAAGACAGCGATTAGTCACGACTCTAAAGCAGTTGCATGAGCCTCGGCAAAGCCGGGCTTCCAAGAAGGAGGAGAGCTCGGCGTTAGCCGGGCGATCCGACTGTCTATTATATATGAAACAACTCATAGACCTCTATCCAGCTACCCAGGTATCCATTCAAAGTTCATGGTATAGTTTGGCGGACTCCCTGGTAAGTGAAGGGGTGGGGTTCAAAGACAAGTTTGTATCACTCACAAACCTGTATTTGAACACAATTTCACGTAGTAGCGGAAGTAGAGGGAGGGCCTTGGCCTACGCTTTTGCCTTCCTCCCCTTACCCAATATGTAGGCTGTGGAGACAACTGATCATATCCCTCTTCTTTCAGAATCCCTCAGGCATACTTTCACAAAGAAGAAAAGGCATAGTCTCCACTCAGTCTAAGCCTTGGTTCGGAGAAGGGACAGAATGCTTCCTCCTCCCGTAAATGCGTTAGTGCTAGAGACTCTCGCACATCTTGTATCATATAATTGATAAATCAGTGTAGTTCGCCTCCTCCTTACTTTACTTGTTGATGCACAGTGCTTTGTAAATCATCTTTTCAGGGTAAATCTGAATTGATTTTAATCGCATTTCAGGTGGTGTAGGCTTTAAATCTTTTCCCATGTAACCATGTCACACACCCAGAATATGTATAAAGTGGGCGGTAAGTGGTAGTGTTGCTCTTCACTTGCACATCACTAGATTGAAGTAAGGCTTTATTTAGATTATGTTTATTTCGAGACGCCCGAGAACACACCCTATCAGATACGTCGGATAGAAGATTTGAATAAGGTTCGTCAACACTTGAATTCTCGATTTTTCAGTATTCAGTCTTCTGAACCCATCTACTTCTGAAATGGCCCATTCTTTCGAGATATGTTTGGTAAGATCGCGCGTACAGGCCTCGTGACACATAAGAATAGTTGAATGTGCACCAAAGGATTATATGGGAGCCGATCGACTCTGTCCATGAGCGAACTGGAAGAATAAGGGGGTTGTAGAATCGGAGGAAAACAGTCGTTAAATTTCCATCTATTGCTTTGGTTTTTTTTTACGATTTCCGACTCTCTGAT